TATTTCAAACACAGAGGACTCAAGTGCCATCATCCTAGACTGAGCTACCATGAGGGAAGGGGAAAATCCAGCTACCAAGTCAAAGAGACCTTTTTGAAACCAATATGTCAAAATGCTATTGTTTCTCAATGTATCCTCCATCTAGGTCAATACACTTCTGAAGGTGGTGTTTCCATTGGTGTGGCACTGTAGGATAAGCACTGAACTGCTAACCACAAGGTAGGCAGTTCAAACCCACCAGCCCTCCTTGAAAACCCTACACCAGGTCGCTATAAGTCAGAAACAAATCAGTGTCACTTACCAACAACAACAACAACCCTTCCCCCAAAGAATTCTGCACTCTTTGAATTTTACCATGTCAAGTCAGCACTTTGGGCATCTTCCAGGAATTCAAAGCATGCTCCTTTTAAATATTCTTTGAGTTTTGAGAACAAAAAGAAGTCTGTAGAGGCAAGACCAAAACTGTGGGGTGGATGGGGTAAGGCTTCCCAGTGGAAATCTCACTGCACAGCCATTGCTACCCTCAAATAATGAGCAAGATGCATTGTCATGGTGGGAAAAAATCCTCATGACAACTTTCCTGGCCTTCTTCTCATCAGTAGTTTTAAATTCTTATGAAACCTCTTTCTAATAAGGCACTGTGACTGTTCTTTGGCCCTTGAGAAAATTTATCAAGACTAACCCTTTGAAATTCTAACAAACAGTCACCTGTGGAGCCTTAAAAGCTTGTGAAAAGTCATCTAAGGTTCTATCGGTCTCTCCCTGTCCAAAGGAAAGACAAGTAAAGAAAATCCAAGACACATGGAAACAGTTAGTCCAGTGGACTAATGGACCAAGTGAACAGTCTCCAGGACCCTAAGGTCAGAATAGCCCAATGGTTTCCAGCTACCACTCCCAACCACTCTGAAAGGGATCACATTAGTCCTGGATAGAGTGGAAGTAAATGTGGAACAAAACTCAAAATCACAAAGAAAGACCAGGTTTACTCATCAGGTAGAGACTGGTGGAACCTCTGAGACTATGACCCTTAATCACCTTTCAGGTCTCAAGTGAATGAACTCACTCACATAGCTCCATTTCCAGCCAAACAATAGAAAAGTCTGTAAGGGGAACAATACCATTAGGGAGGCATGCACATCCTATAACAACCAACCACTTATGATCAAAGGGGCAGCCTTTGCCAAAGGATAGAATTCAGAAAAGAAGGAGGAATTGAAATGGGAAATGCAAAGATGAAGTGGGAGGAGTAATGTTATGTTGTGAGGATTGCAATCAATGACATGAAACAACATGTGTCTGAATTGATGAATGGAAAACTGATCTGCTCTGTAAATCTTCACCCAATTGACAATTTGAAAAATTAAACAAAACAAAACAAAAAAATCCATTTCCAGAGCCTTCTGAGTTGACCTCTCTTCCTTGAATGTAATCAGCCTAGCAGATCCCCTTGGAAATTGCTGTTTTGATTGGGTCTTTTTTTTAAGGCACCCTAAGGAGAATAAGACAAATGTGTTACTGAGAGAACTATCCACTGATCACAGTTGTTGTTGTTAAGCTTCATCATGTCTGTTCTGATTCATAACAACCCTGTATAGGGTTTCCAAAAGTGGCTGATGAGTTTAAATCATAAACATTGCAATTAAAACTGACCTTGCGGTCCAGTATTTATCCTACAGCACCACACCAGGACTCCACTGATCACAGTGATACTGAAATATATTTTGGAATTTTGTTTGGAATTATCCTATGCATGCATGAACTGGAACCATAGTAGCAGTACTTTTTGACTACCCTCATATACCAAGAATTACTCTGTGGTTTTAGGGAAGATGCCTAATCTACATGCTGGTGCTTTGCATTGTAGCTTGCCTTGGGGAAATTAGGATTCTTCTTGTCTCAGTATCTGTTTTGTAACTGTTTGACCTCCTGAAGGAGGTTCCTATTCATTCTTTCATTCATTCAATTGCATGTTGTCATGGGTCTAGGTGCTGAGGAAATGACAATGAACAAACCTGAGAGGCCTCTTCACTCAGTGGGGCCAGGAGCACATGTATATTATGTCATATGTGGGCCTAACAGAGCAGGATAAAGAGGAGAGGCACCTGAGATGAGGTTTTCTGTCCAATGTGGACAAGTAGAAGCAGGATTACAAGTATGATGATTTTGTGAGGAGAGAAACCAAGGAGAAAACACAGGACTATTGGGTAAAGGTAGCCGCATGTGTGAAGGTCCTGAGGCAAGAATGGCTCCTCAGTGTGATGAGAGAGATGCTGAGCTCTCTTCAGGGTCAAGAGGATCAGACATGGACACAAGGGTTCATAGGAAGCTCCTCAAGGTATTTGGCTACAAAGAAGAACCAAGACTGGTGGTGACTAGTGGATGAGAGAGGGCTGTGCTGTGGAGGAATTCCGATGGTCACTTGCCCACAGAGAAGGAAGCAGTGATGCTGGGGAAGAGAAAGGGGACCTCAAGGGGACATCCTTGAGTAGTCAAGAGGGGCCGGTACCCAGAGTCCAGGGCTCAGCTGGCCTACACAGAGCCCACCCTTTCCTCCTCACTGTGGCCTCCACAGTAACCTTTGTCCAGCCAGCTGCTCTCGTATGACTTTCACAGGTAATCCAAAGTCTTTTGTTGCCTAGTGGACACTCACTCCTTCCTTCAGAACAAAAGAGAGAGAGAGAGAGAGAAAAAAAAGGGACGAAAAAGAGAAAAGAAATTGTAACCCTCTCCACTGTTGAGGCTGAAATTTGAGGGGCTTCAGAATGTTCGTGGAAAGTGATTATATTTTCATTCTATTTTCCACCAACTCTGTGAAGCCCGAATGAAATCTTGTACAAAGAACCCTTAGTGAAGGCCCAATCCTTGAACTTCATCTCACAATTGAGGAAACAAATCATTATCAGAACTTCAGCAGAATTCACTGATCTTCTCAGTGTGCCCACCATGTGCCCCTTCACTTGTCTTTCCTCTTCACCTATTCTCCATTGAATGAGCCCATTTTCACCAACAGATGCTTAGGCTCTATTGTCTAAATGTTTCCTCACCTGCTGGGAGAACTCACAGCTATAGCACCTGCTATTCTGGGCAGCAGATAAATGGGTCGCTGAGCATGGTACGCCAGGAGTGATTTGTCTGAGGAAATTCATCATGAGTTAGAAGTGGAGTGGACTGTGCTTCCTGCTAGGATGAAAATTGAAAGGGAAAAAATATATACATTTCTGAGTGCTGTCCGTGGTCTTGTCCATGGTTCTGCCCTGGGTTGTGTCCATGGTTCCATTCATAGTGCTGTCCATGGTCATGCCCATGGTTCTGCCCTGGGTTGTGTCCATGGTTCCATTCATAGTGCTGTCCGTGGTCCTGCCCATGGTTCTGCCCTGGGTTGTGTCCATGGTTCCATTCATAGTGCTGTCCGTGGTCCTGTCCATGGTCCTGTTCGTGGTCCTGTCCCTGGTGCTGCCCCTTTTCTGCAGCTGGGGGTGACAACTGACTTCATCGTTTCAAGTCATCAAAGCAGGACCAGCTCTCCTCAGCCTTTGTCTCCACCACATTCACTTCTTCTGATTCTGAAACACTTCCTTCTGTGCATCTTTCTAAACATCTCCCTTTTCTCCTTGTGATGATTCAAAACTAAACCACCATTCTGACCAACTGCACTTCATTTTATTATTTCTCTTAGTCTCTTGCAAATGAGACGGTAAAATGTTGTTATTTGAAAGGAGCACAGAAACCACATAGTTTAATAATTTTCAAACATATTCTGGATACAGAAACTTTGAAAACTACTGATGCAATCCTCACTTCACCAACCAGGAAAGACAGGCCCAAGAAGGTGAGAAGACAAAGTTAATACTGAAACTCCAGTATCCTGATTCCCACACTATTCCCTGCGTTGGCGAAGATGCTTTCAGCTGTAGTCAGATGACTTTGCAATAATGGAGCCTAGAGACAGAGGCTCCAAGATGATTCTGGGGCTGAGCAATGTCACCAAGGACCAGGTTCATCCCATTGGCCTCTGTCCTCCTCAAGTCTAATGGTGGTGAGAAACATTGAAACCACTCTTACTCCCAACTGCATGATACAGGAAGGGGCCCCTTCTTACCTTGTGTCTCCTGTCAGTTGACAAAATTTTCCCAGATGACAAACCACAAGGGTGATTCTTCCTCCTAGTCGGGTGCAGATGAAGAGCATGGAAATGCTGTGACTAACTTAGGCTGACCCCCCAGGCTAGGCAGGGTCACCCTTACATGGAGATAAAACTCTGTGGGAACACATAGATCCTGGACATCTCTGGGTCAGGTCACACGGACCTGACCCAGGAGGGTGGCTCATGTTGGGACAAGGTTCTCTGCAGTCTTTCTCATTTCTGTACATCTTCTGAGCAGAGGTACTGTCAGCTTTGTTCCAGGCACCCGTGGATTGAATGGTGTTCCCCTAAAAGATCTGTGAAGTTGTAACCCAAGAGTCTATGAGTGTCACCTTGTTGGGAAATCGGGTGTTTGAAGGTGTTGAAGATAGAGTTGGGGAGTCCTTGATGCTCCTCCCTTCTCTCACCAACTCCTACGTTTCTTCCCTTTGAATGTCAGCTCCCCTCACCCAGAGACCAGGAGCACTCCACCTAGAAGAGAATTTCAGAAGTTTTAGCATTTCTTAGTGTGTGTGTGATGGGGGACAGATCTCTCTGCCAAAGCCCTTAGCCATACCAGAGAGCTGACGTGGGCCACAGCCCCTCCTCAGGAAGCAGGGAGAGGAGGGGCTAGGCTGTGGTGAGCTCTTCTGCAGAGTCGGATGCAATGACTAATGCTGACAATGGTGGATGGGTGGGTTTCTCCGACCACTTCCTTCCCTGGGGTTTCCTTAGTGCTCGCTGCACCACGCCTGTTCCCCCCACCTCAGCTCCAACTTGAGCCCCAGGGACACGATGGCAGTGGTTGAGGTTGAGGGTGGGTGACCTGGCGAGTGTCCAGGAGAAGCCTCTTCATGTCTTTGATCTCTGCCCACAGCTGCCACGGATGTGTCCTTCTCATTCGACGTGGGCAACGGGCCGGTGGAGATTGTGGTGCGGGCGCCATCCCCGCTCAACGATGACCAGTGGCACCGCGTCACCGCTGAGAGGAACGTCAAGCAGGCCAGCTTGCAGGTGGACCGGCTGCCTCCAGTGGTGCGCAAGGCCCCAACCGAGGGCCACAAGCGCCTAGAGCTCTACAGCCAGCTGTATGTGGGTGAGTAGGGGTCCACTCCACACACTGTCCCCTCGGGACGGCTATACATGGGTGAGTGGGGGGTCCACTCCACACACCATCCACTCAGGACAGCCATCAGGTAGTTGTTAACTCCCTTCAAGTCAGTTCAACTCATAGACACACATAACAACAATTGTGAGGATGGCTCAGGACTAGAGCAGTGAGTCCGGCTGCTATGCATAGAGTCCCTATGAGTCGGAGCCAACTCGACAGCACCTAACAACCACAACACCAACTCCTGTATGCCCTCACTGACGGAACAGGAGAAAAGCTCCACTTCCAGCCAGGGTCACAGTCCCACGAACAGGAGTTAGGACGTCAGCGTCTGTTTGAGGCACACCATTCAATCCATAACACAGACTGAGTTTGTGTTCCATTCCTGCCTCCCTCTGTTCAAGTGTAAGCCTTACCAGGGCAGAGAGCCTGCAGTCTTCTTGCAAGGTGCACCCTGATACTTGGATCAGAGCCTGGCTCGTTGTGGGCATGGAACATGTGCTGAGTGGATCAACCGGATTTCACGAGTTTGCGTTTGGGAGTTCTCTGGAACCCTATAAGCTCTGACTTTGAGGACAGTGTCTTTTATATACTTCTCCATCATCATGTTCCCCTCGTGGTTTAATTTCATAGCTGATTATGTGGCCGTAATCTTCTGAGCATTGTGGATGCTACTGCGTTTTCATAATTAATCTTTAATTGCAATGTTCGAATAGAATTCCACATGAAAAATGGTTTACAAATTAAATACAGGTCTCACCTTGAATAATTATCGCATATCCGACTAATGCATGTGAAACCCTAGCATAGCGGGGGGCTCACTCCAATGACAATGTGTTGATTTTCTAATTAGAGAAGGTTAAATAGCCTTTTTGCTTGAAGACCAACGATGTAAACTTAGGACATCTGTCACCAAGAAAGACTTCCATAGAGCACATTCATTGGATCTCAAGAAATGTCCACCACTCCTAATGCATGAACATTTTCAGCTAATATATAATGAGCATCCTCAGAACAAAGGTTTCTCTTTGTATCCGCTAAATCAGTAAAAGTCTTTTACAACTCACTGACCCATCTCAATAAATCAGGGGCTAGCTAAGTGAGAGGAGAGTTCACTTGAGTAGTTTTCCTTTATCCAGAGAGAAGTGGCCTACCACTGCCTTGCTTTACACAATAAGGAGAGAGAGAACCAAGCTTGGTTCATTGACCTCAACAAATACAGACTAGGCTTTAGTCGTATGCTGTGGGGTAAAATAGATGGCAGACCGTAGTGCAGAAAAGGAAGAGAGAGGAGGTTTTAGGAGAGGTGGAGAGATATTTCCTGTCTGGAGCCCCCTGGGCAGTGCACACAGTTATCACGCCCTGCTGCTAACCGGCAGGTGGGAGAGTCCAGTCCACCAAGAGGCCCCTTGGACTGAAACCTGGACTTGCTGTGGAGCACAATACTTCCCTGACACATGTGGGGTCGCCATGATGCAGAGCTGACCAGGGCGCAGCAGACCTGCAGGGAGGGGGACAAAGGAGTGTGATGGCTCTGTAGGATAACCACAGGACTGAGAACCACAAGGTCAGTGGTTCAAACCCACCAGTCACTCCATGGGGAAAAGAGGAGGCTTTCTGCTGCCATAAAGATTTACAGCCTCAGAAACCACATATGGGATCGTTATGAGTCGGAACCTACTAGACAGCACACAACAACACAGACAGGGGAGAGTGCAGAAGGGTTGGGATTGTAAATGGACAAGAGTAACTCAGAGCTGGAGGGGCCCAGAGAACCCCCCAGTTCAGTCTCCCAGGTTATATGGGAAAAGGAGTTCGGAGGGAGATGAAGGGTTGGTGGGAGCCACAGCAGAGACCAAACAGTCCAGGGTCCTGACAGAAAGAGCACAAAGCAGACACAGGAAGGAAGGCAGATGGAGGCATTGCCCAGGACAGACAGACAGACAGACAGAACCAAGGTGGAAAGGCAGAAAGTGCTTCCCCGGCCCCCATGTGGGATGAGGTCTGTGTACGCAAATAATTCACCTGCCTGAATATAAAAGTTGGCCTTAATCCTATAATGAAAATGTGGTCTAGTCAGCAGCTATTTGCTCTGCCACCTGGCTCTTTTCCACTTTGTTCCCTGGAACCCAGCATGGCCAGACTTCATCTCTCATACCTCAGACATATTGTCAGGAGGGACCGATCCCTGGAGAAGGACATCATGGTTGGTAAAGTGGAGGGTCAGAGATGAAGAGGAAGACCCCCAATGAGATGGATTGTCACAGGCAGCAGCAGTGGGCTCAGGCGTAGCAATGATTGTGAGTGGTGCAGACTCAGGCAGTGTTCCCTTCTGTTGTGCATGGGGTCGCTATGCGTTTGTACTGACTCAATGACACCTAACAACAACAACAGCATTTACTTAAATGTCTGTAAAAGTCTCCTTCTTGTTGTCAACCATGAGTGAAGATCCATGAAATGTGAATGACTTCCAAGTTAAAATCCACTCCAGGTAGACTAAAGATTAACACGTTAACTGACATGAAACCATAAAAGTGCCAGAAGAAAGTATTGTTGAACAATTACAGTATTTTGGATGAGGTGAAGTCTTTATGAGCATAATCCCAAAGTCAGAAAGCACAGAAGCAAAGCAGATAGCTGTGATATCACAAAAAGTTATGACTTATATATGGAAAACAGGAATGCCACAGACAGGTGACAACACAAACGGGAAGGAAATACTTTCAGATTTTATAATAAAGAGTGAAAGTTCAAAATATTGTTATCAATCAGTGAGAGACACTGAGGAACAGTGCCCACCACAGCAATCATAGGCCCACCCTGTCACTGTGGGGCTGGCTCAGAACTGGTCAGTGCTTTGTTCTGTTGTACAGAGACGGGGTCACTGTGAGTAGGAGCCAACTTGACAGTGCCTAACAATCACCACAGCGACACCCAAATAAAGCAAGAAAATATGAAGAAGCAACTAAAAACTAGGAATCGGAGAAGCATAAAAGTTACTCACATTATTTGAAACATGCAAACTAAAGCAATAAGCTCCCCCCATCACCCCGGCCATGGATTGTCATAAACTCCAAAGATCACTTGTCAGTACTGCAGTTAGCGTACAGAAAAGAGTGTGTCACATCTTGTGTGTGAAATTGTTGTTGTTGTTGTTTCTAAGTGCTGCTGCCGAGTCAGTTCCAACCCATAGTGACCCTGTCTGTATAGGGTTTCTGAAGAGCGACTTTGTAGTTCAGCACACTAACCCATTATTGTCATTGTTAAATGCTGTCGAGTTGGTTCCGACCCATAGTGACCCTGTCTGTATAGGGTTTCTGAAGAGCGACTTTGTAGTTCAGCACACTAACCCATTATTGTCATTGTTAAATGCTGTCGAGTCGGTTCCGACCCATAGCGACGCTGTATAGGGTTCCTGAAGAGCGACTGGTTAGCTTGAACCACCAACCTGGTGATTCAACCCAACTTTGAAGTCCAGAGCATTAACCCATTGTTGTTGTTTTGTTAAGTGTGTCTAGTTGGTTCTGGCCCATAGCACCCTGTATAGGGTTTCCAAGGAGCAGCTGGTGAGCTTGAACCACCGACCTTGTATTCCATGATATGTTAAAGGAAAAAAACAAGTTTTAAAATAAGTGTCTACTAATATCCTAATATCTTTCTTTTCTTTTGTTCTGTTTTTTTTTTTTACACATGTTTATTTATAGCAGAAGACAATAGAAGTCACTAAAAGTCAAAGTAATTTTCTCAAGAGTGTTACTACAAATTCTCTTTTCATTTTATTTGTACTGTTTTTACATTGTTACAATGAAAACCCATTACATTTGTCATCAGGGACAAGAAGAGGAAAAATCTAACAACAATTATTTAAAATTTTCAGCATATTTTGAACAGATATAAACGTCTTCATTGAGTAGTGATGAAAATTAAAATAGCCTATGCAGTTATTTAACAGAAGGCCCATCGGAAAGCCCTTATGACAGGAACAAAAGTCAAAGTCACTGAAATGACAGAAGACCAACTGAAGTTTTAACCCCACAAGACTCAAGGCTGGGACTCAGATTCACGGTTGTTGTTAAGTGCTGTTGAGTTATTGCTGACTCATAACCACCCTGTATAGGGTTTCCAAGACTTGAAATTTTCACGGGATCAGAAAGCCTCATCTTTCTCTGGCCAGAATCACAGTTGTTGTTAAGTCCCATTGAGTCATTTCTGACTCATAATGACCCTCTATAGGGTTTCCAAGGAGCGCCTAGTGAGTTTGAACTGCCGGCCTTGTGATTGAAACCATCCTGTGGTCACATGTTTGTCCTACTGTGCCACACCAGGACACCAAGACCACAATAGGACTCTGAGATTGCCAGAATCAGAGCAGAGGCCCCAACCGTCTTCAGGACAGAGTGAGCGGCTGAGCTGACAGGCAGAGGCAAAATGAAAATCCTCAGAGAAACCGCTCTATTCTCCCCAGCTCTGATCACAAAGGGCAGTGACTCCTTCATTTAATCCTCTGCTCCAATCTTTTTTAAAAGTAAAATGCTCCCTGGAGAATTGTCACCCCACAGGAGGATTGCATGCCTGGGTTTACAAGGTAATAGAGCACTTTGCTTCCATTGCACACCTGAGGATTTGCAGATTTCAGCAGATTCTAACTCTCCCCTGCTTTGATCTACAAACCCCACCCCATGAGTCTACTACACTTGGCCCCTTCTTCCAGGAGAGTAGAAGTTATCAGAATCAACCCCTGATTGACCAGTTTCACCCAAACTCACATACCCTGTGGACCATCCATTTTCAAAGACATACAAAACTACATCTCAACATCATCTCACACCAGCAGTAACAGCGAAGTTCAAAAAAGCAGAAGACAATAAATGCTAGCGAGGATGTGGAGAGACTGGGACCCTCCTATATTGCTGGTGGGAATGCAAAATGGTTCAGCCACTCTGAAAACCAGTATGGCACTTCCTCAGAAAGTTGAAAATAGAAATACCTTATGATCCAGCGATTACCCTACTTGATATATATTCACAAGAAATGTGAGCCATAACATGAGTAGATATATGCACACCAATGTTCATTGCAGCACTATTTACAATAGCAAAAGCTGGAGACAGCCTAAGTGCCCATCAATGGAAGAATGGATAAACAAACTTTGGTACATCCACAAAATTGAATATTATGCTACCTTGAAGAATGACAAGGAAGCTGTAAGCCACTACATAACATGGATGAACCTTGAGAACATTACGCTGAGTGAAATTAGTCAGTCACAAAAGGAGAAATACTGCATAAGACCATTACTGTAAAAGTTTAAGAAAAGATGTCCATATGAAAAGGGGAAAAAAAATTATTTGTTGGTTACCAGGGGTGGGAGGGAGAAGATGGTAGAGCATAGGGTAGGGGATAGTCACATCATAGTTCGGGTGTTGGGGAGGGCAATACACAAAACAGGGGAGGAGAGTGGAAGAACAAGGTAGATAGGGGGACATTGAGGCAGGTTTGCATGGGCTAAATGGGACAGAGGTAAATAGTTATATAGCCTCAACCTTGGAACAATGGGGCTCTGTGATACAGGGATCGAGGTATAGTCTGAATGGGTAAAAGAGGGGAAATAATGTTAAGATGCTTGACTGTCTATGGATATTGGTTTCCCTTGCCTACTATTATAAAATAGACACTTGAGTGGGATGGAAAGAAATATCAGGAAGCATGATTACAGAAAGCTTGTAAGCCTGTCTATAGCTGATTGGAATACCTAAAAGGGCTTCTAGAACTTACCCAATGAAATAGGCTTCTTGCAGAGACTTTGTAGTATATAAGACCTTAGGTGGAATTCTGAGCCCCATCCAGAATCTTCTGAGGTGAGACATTCCCACTAGAAAGGACAAGCAAACCAACCTGGAACAGCTCGAGGAGCAGAAGATACTTCTAGAAAGAAAGAACAACAGGAAAAATCCAAAACAAAAACAGCAGTCTGATTGGCTACAATAAAAACAAGCAAGTTGTCCACCAGTAAGCCATCAAGACAAGCAATCAAGTCCCTTCAAGACAAACCCACTTCAAGACTGAAACTCAAAGGGAACACACGAGCAGGTATGTAAGCTTACTGGCAACCATAATGGTTTACATTGTGAGTTGGAGTAAAGGCAGCAATGAAGATATGGGCTGAGTTCGACCATGTTCCATAGACTCCATCTGGAGATGACAAAGAGAAGAGGAAGGGCTGCTTGGTCTGAAGTGTGGTGAAATTTAGAGACTCTTGAGCCCATAGACAAGGACCTAGCCATGTAGGGCTGGAGCTGAGAGTGAAACGTCAGCTGATGTGAAGTGAGGGGAGACCTACAAGAATGCCCAAAACTGAGATAGTACCCATTTGACCTAGCTTCGATGGCTTGATGTTAAGAACTCAACTAGAGAAGATAAAGAAATTTGATAATGGAAACAAGTGTAAATTACTACAATTTGATGAACTTGACCTATATTTATGGACATAGAAGCTCAAAATACCAACTGAGAGGGAAGGAGTCTTCACATCAAGGATTAATCCTATGCCCTCTGTACACAGGGTTGGTAGGGACAGGCAACTTATTGGCTACCTAAAATTGGGGGGGCTATAAAGGCATGAAGTGACAGGTTTACAAGTGTTTCAGAATATGAAGGGGGAGGTAGAATCCCCACTGAATAGTTTTCATCTTGTCTAGATAGGTCTGGTGAATGGCACTGGGGATAAAATTGTTATGATTCAATAGCAATTGTTATCATGATTAATTGTGACTGTCGCAACTGTAAAGGTAGAACTTTCGTAACAAAAAGGAGTAGTAGTTAATCTTACATTCCAGGAACAGAGGACCCTAGGACCATCAAAGGAGAAGAGCACGACTGGAATGTGGGACCTTATCCAGAAAAGCAGTGACGCCAAAGATGATGACATGGAGAGAGAGCAGCTGAGGACTCTAGATTCATGGAAAGAGAAAGGCTGTGTGCTTGCAGCCAGGGGGCAGGCTTGCAGAATATTCCCTTTGGTTGTTTAAATGATTATTTATTCTTGAGTAGTTTTGTGTATATCCAAAAAAAAAAAAGCAGGGAATAAAAGCAAATACTGTTGAATGATGATGCACGGAGGGGATCATTGCAATGAAACGAAACACAATAGGAAGAGTGTAAAACCAATATTCTCCCATGTAAACTATCACTCAATTCACAATAAAAACTTAAAAAAAAAAAAAAAAAAAAAACCTACATCTCAAAAACACAGATATCTACGGGGTCTTCATCCCCAAGGACCCTCCTCTGTACCAGTTGAGTGCCACAGACCAGAGACATGTGGTAGGCTCAGGAGTACGACCACTTTGGCACAGCCTTTCCACCCAGGATCTCTGCATGCTGGAGGCCAAGCCTCCATTTCTCTAAGCCTCAGTTTCCCCATCTGTACCATGGGGATCGCTACCTTCGCAGAGATAAAGCTCAGAAGTCAGGACGAGATTTGAAGGAAGGGTAAATGGAAACAGTTAACACAGGAAGGAAGTAGGAAGATGGCTGTTACATTGTGGGGGCTGCAATCAGTGTCATGAAACAAAATGTGTATGAATTGCTGAATGGAAAATCAACTTCCTCTATTTTCTACTACCCAAATCACAATAAAAAGTTTTTATAAGAAATAAACTTTTTTTAAAAAAAAAGAATGCCTACCTTGAAAGCTTGTTATGAGGATTCAGTGAATAATATGTGTCTCTTAAATGTACCATGGACTGCTAGAAAAACAAAGAAATCTATGTTGGGAGAAGTACAGCCAGAAGGCTCCTTAGAAGCCAGAATGGCCCAACTTCGTCTCTCAGACTTTGAATATATTGTCAGGAGGGGCCAGCCCCTGGAAAAGAATATCATGCTAGGTAAAGTGGAGGGTCAGCCAAAAAAAGGAAGATCCACAATGAGATGGATTGGCACCATGGCGGCAGCAAGGGGCTCAAGCGTAACGACAGTTGTGAGGATGTTGCAGGACCCGACAGTGTTCCGTTCTGCTGCGCGCACGGTTGCTACACATCGGAATCGACTCAATGGCACCTAACAACAACATGTGACCCGCAATCATAGACACTATTCTGAACAGTATCTTTTTTCCTGTGTCCTCATCAGATATTTCTTTTCATTATTTCAGTTGCTTTTCATTTTAATCTCCAGGAAAATTGTTACTCTGTGGTGCAGACACTTGGAGAACTTTGAGATTCTCTTTTTGTACCAGTTGCTTTAAAAAAAAAAAAAAAGCATAGCTGAAGTTGTTGCAGACACAATTAACCCACCTTGTAATATCATGAAGGTACCCCAGTCTCATGTAGGGTGCACACTGGACTGCTAAACCACAAGACCAGCAGTTCAAACCCGCCTGCTGCTCCTCGAGAGAAAGATGAGACTTTCTGCTTAGGGAAAGATTTACAGCTTCAGAAAGCATCTACAGGGTCGTTTTGGTTCAGAATCCCCCTGATACAGTGGGTTCGGTTTGAGTTTGAGTGACGTAATTAGAAGAACTTGTGGTGTTGTGGCTAAGTGCTGACCTGCACCCACCAGCCACTCCTCAGGAGAAGATGGGACAATCTGCTCCTATGAAGATGTTCAGCGCTGGAAACCCAATGGGCAGCTCTATTTGTCCTGTACGGTGACTATGAGGCAGAATTGACTCGATGGGCTTGGTTTGGGTTTGGTGGGATCATGCTTCAGTGACTCTGTCTGTGAACTTACTGGGAAATGGTTTAATATCTTCCTACTCAGGGACCTGGTCTGTAGTATGTACATACTCAGGGAATCACAGGAAGTGTACTCTTTGTACAAAATGTCCTGAATAACATTTAGACAAAAGTCCCAAAATCTAACCTGCCCTGTCCTAAGTACAGAGTAACTGATTTCCCTTTAAAATGATCAGTTCCAGCTCCCACCCACCCAGAAGACGAGCCCAGGACCTCTGGTGCAAACTCCAAAGTCAAGCATTTGGTGAAGCAAGAGCTAGGGCGAGCATCGCACATCCAGTGGGTTCTGCCTCCAACTAATTGATTTGTTGACTCTGCTAATATATGCGTGTCCTCTGCCTTTGTGCCTTTCAGGAGATAATTCTGTGGAACGAGGTATGAGATTAGAGAGCAGAGCGCCCAGCAGTTTCTATAAGCCTCTTTTCTACAGGAAACCGAATTAGACTCCAAAACAGTTAAGACAATTTCAGTGTATCCCCCAAACATTTTGTTTCTGGAGCACACGTGTTGCCTGTTGGGAGACGGGCTGTTTGTCAGGCTTTATACCCTGAGTGGGAAACAGACCTTTCCATTTACCAGCCAACTTGATGGCAAGGCCCAGATGCCCAGCAGTCTGGCCCCAGCCACGTCACTAGATCAGGAATGAAGCAAACAGAGCCAGGCTACCCTCCCTGCCTGACCACTCCTCTGTTGTCCCCAGGTGCCGCCGGTGGCCAGCAAGGCTTCCTGGGCTGCATCCGCTCCCTGCGAATGAACGGGGTGACGCTAGACCTGGAGGAGAGGGCCAAGGTCACCTCCGGCTTCGTGTCAGGATGCTCCGGCCACTGCACCAGCTACGGGGCCAACTGTGAGCATGGTGGCCGGTGCGTGGAGAAGTACCATGGCTACTCCTGCGACTGCACCCACACGGCCTATGACGGCACCTTCTGCAACAAAGGTAGGCAGGCTGTCTCCAGAGCCCAGGCCATCTGCTTCCTGGTGCTTCACCTGAGCACAGGTGTGCTTCCCCTACCCACAGGTGTGTCTCACCTGAGCACAAGTATGCTTCCCCTGCACAAAGGTGTGTCTCATCCACACACAGGTGTGTCTCACCTGAGCACAGGTATGCCTCCCCTGCACAAAGGTGTGTCTCATCCATGAGCTGGTATGCCTCACCTGTACACAGGTGTGCCTTCCCTGCACACAGGTGTGTCTCACCCACACACAGGTATGTCTCACCTGTACACAGATATGCTTCTACACATAGGTGTGTCTCACCCACACACAGGTATGCCTCACCTACACATAGGTGTGTTTCCCCTGCACATAGGTGTGTCTCCTACACACACAGGTATACCTCACCTGTGCATAGATATATTTCCCCTACACATGGATGTGTCTGACCCATGCACCAGTTTCCTCTCTCACACACAGGTGTATCTCACCCATGCACAGATGTGCCTCCTAGGCACACAGGTATACTTTCCCTACATAGAGATGTGCTTCACCCATGCGTAGGTATGGCTCACCCACACTCAGGTGTGTTTCATCTGAACACAGGTGTACGTTATTTTGAGGATCACGTGACAGAATCATTCTCTCTCCTTCCGTAGGAGTTCCCTAAATTCCTGTGTAATCTTTGTTGTTGATTCATTCAGATAGAAGAAGCTCTGAGTGGGCATAGCCCCAGACTCCAATAAGCTGGGCACCAACCAGAGGGTCACAGCTCAGATGGGAGGTGTCAGAGGGGGGCAGCACACGATTTCCCCCATGGCCACAGTGATCCGGCCACCTCACCTGGGGTCTGGACATCTTCCAGCTCCAAGAGCCCCCTGCTGCCAGCTATTGTCAGTATTCTCACTCTGGTGGTAAGCACCAGGACCTCAGGCTCAGCTAGACAGCCACCCGCTGCCACCCAGTTGATGCTGCCCCATGTTTGTCAGGTTCCCTAGGAGCAGGTCATTCCTTTCTTCCAGAGCACCTCTAGGTGGACTCGACCTCTAACCTTCCAGTTAGCAGCAGAGCATGTTGACCGGCTGCTCCGCCCAGGGTGCTCACATGCCAGCTGTGAGTCATCACCTCACCGTATTTGTTGTCCCTTCATTGTTTCAGCCTCTATGATTCCCTGTGTCCCAACCAATTCTGCAGCCCAGCAGACCACATGTAAGCACTGGGGCCTGTGATGAAATCCTGGGTGTGCACCCAAGGTCTGCAAGAACCATGCACAGGCACTCACTGGGTGGCCCACCTGTCTACAGGAAGGAGGGAGGGAGCTCAGCTCCCTCCCACGCAAAGACACGGCGAGCACTCTTGGTTCTCAGTGGGTCATAGTGTTTATGACCCACGTTTCCTGTAAACATTAGTGCATCTCTGAGTAAAGCCATGTTCATCCTCCTGGGACCACACAGAAGGTTGTTTCTGTAGCATTGTTCACACGCAGAAAGAGCGACAGGCTGCTTGGAGTTACTGCAATGGGACGGTCAGATTAGGTTATGCTGTGTGCAAGCCCGTGTAGGGACGCAAATGGTGTGAGGGAGACAGAGTGTGAGGGAGACAGACAGGGACAGACAGACAGTGAGGGAGACAGCCCTTGAGAGAGACAGGGAAACAGAGGGTATGGGAGGGAGGCAAGATGGGGACACAGACAGTCTGGAAGATGGACAGTGTGAGGAAGAGAGAAGGAGAGGGGGCCATAGGACAATAGAAACAAACAGACGGTGTGAGGGAGACAGACACTGTGAGGGAGACAGACGGTGTGAGGGAGACAGACGGTGTGAGGGAGACAGACGGTGTGAGGGAGACAGACGGTGTGAGAGAGACAGACGGTGTGAGGGACAGGCAGGAGGGTTTGTTTGGGTAGGGCACCCTGGCACTTGAGCAGAACAGTAACAGGCATGTAGGCTCAGAGCACCCTGGTTTGTCATTTTCCGTGACCCACAAGAGGACGGTCAGCAGACTTAACACCATGCCCTTACAGAAGGTCTTACAATCACTGCTCGTTAGAGCTGATGTTGATTTAAAAGCTGTGGCTCGGTGAAGACAATCAAGAGCACACCAGGCCTGAGAAATTCTCTTCCTGAAGAACCGTTAACAGAAAATCCTGGCCTCTCATTCCTGGAGAGTGATGCTGACCTCAGCAGCTCGCAGTGGCCCAGGACTCATAGAGATGTCCACAGACTGGAGAGGGCAGCTGCCCTGGGGCACCGAGGCAAAGCTCAGTGGAGCCTAGGCGTGCCCTTTGCTTACCTCCGCAAAGTGTTCCCCCAAAAGGCATCCAGATGCCCTCTGAGTATCTATGTATTTGATTCAGTTAGTGACTTCGGCCAAAGCATCCTAATTAAAAACTGTGGATGCTATTTGGAAAGACCTGTGTGCTCTCCCTGCATCAAGACCAGGGTCCTCTGTCTTGGGGACAAGAATGGAAGAGCTGTTCTGGGAAGTTGAGTGTCCATCTGCATGAAGGCTGGCCTGAGAGGCCTCAAAACCCACTCCGCAGCCACCTGGCACTTCCTCTGTCCCGCCCAGTCCACCTGGTGGCCTGGTGTCTGTGACCCACATACACAGCATGCTACCACCAGACATTCAGTCCCATAAAGAATGGCCACGGTCATTGACAAAAGAATGAGTTTTATGGGCATCCTTCTCAGCCCCCCTTTAATAGTACACTTGTGTGATTTCTTCCTTTGATGGTTGTTGTTAAGTGCCATCTAGTCAGTTCTGACTCATAATGACCCTGGGTAGGGTTTCTAAGGAGTGGCTGGTGAGTTTGAACTGCTGACCTTGCAGTTGAGGTCCAGTACTTTATCCCACATCAGGACTCCTTTGGTGATACGAGTGTGTTATTTCTTCATTTGGTAATTGTTGTTAAGTGCCATTGAGTTGGTTCTGACTCATAGCAACCCTGAATAGGGTTTCTGAGGAGCGGCTGTGGGGTTGCAGCATCGACCTTACAGTTAGAAGTCCAGTGCTTATCTTACAGGGCCATACCAGGATAGTACACATGAGGCATGTCCTCCTTTGATAGTAGAGATGTGTTTCATTTTCTGGGGCTGCTGTAACAAAATGTCACCAGGAAACATCTTATAACAACAAACACATTCTCTCTCAGTGCCGGAGGCTAGAGGCCAACATCAAGGCCAGACATCCACAGGAGGACCCTTCCTTGTCCCTTCCAGCTGCTGGTGACTCTGTCCCACCAGCCTTGTGATCACATCACTCCAGTCTCTGCTTCTGCTTGCATCTCTTGTCCACTTTTTTAAGGGTGCCATTCCAATGATATGCTGAGCCATCCTACTCCGATGTGGCCTCGTGTTAACTGAGAACGTCTTCAAAGAGCTTACATCTAAACAAGTTCATACTCACAGGTTAAGAGATTAGTACTCCACCATTTCTTTCCAGGAAGCACTATTCAACCCCAAACAAGGCACATGCTTGCCAATGTGGATGAATATTCCCAATAGATTCCTAAGGGAATGAAGGGAACTGTAACATATCAAGCACAGAATGGCCACATGCTTCTACAAAATCAAGCACACATCCACACGTACACACATCCACACGTACATACATCCACACGTACACACATCCACACGTGCACACATCCACACGTACATACATCCACACATACACACATACACACATGCACACATCCACACGTACACACATGAAGAAAACAAACTGTGAGCACACACACCAAAACAATACCATGACTTTTGTGAGGAGAGGGTCGGAATGCCATTTTTTTTTTCTGCTTCTTTTACTTATATTCTGATTTTTGCATATCCACATATCTCCTCAAATTTCGTCATCTTCTCTTCTGATTAGGAGAGAGAGGACTAGAGGCAGCGCTTTCTTCCCCAGCATCAGGGAAAATGTCTCATAATTAACTAGAAAGTTTCACACCATCTAACCACACAATCTGGAATGCATTTGTGTCTCGGATATAAATTGCATATAATTAGAATCGCCCTTGAAGATCCAGCTCTTGGTTTGTTTAACTGACCTTACCGTCTGCACGCCTGGGTGACCATCTCTGCAGATGACTCGCCTGGTTGGGGTTAAGGTGGGCAGAGGTCCAAGTAGGGGAAGGCCCTTCAGAACTCATTTTTCCCTGAAATGACCCCATTGGTATCTATAATATACACTTATTTGTTCCTGAGATTACAAAATGAGACTGATTTGGAAGACAAATAGTGGACAAAACATGTTTAAATGTAGATCGGTTTAATTTGTTTCCAATGTAGGTCCCATCTGCCAATCGTATATGGTAAAGCTTTGCTGTCTGTGAAAATAATAAGGAATTGTTTCCTTTCCAAAATTCTCACAATAATGATGAGTGCACATGGTTTTTTTCTCAATGCACATGTTTCTCCCCTGCACCCCTCTTCTCTGGATCTTCCACCTCCCAGTGGCTTTACTGTTACCCCCTGGTAGACTGACAAAGGGGTGTGTCATAAACATCAATCCTCTATTTTCATTTTAAAAGTTCTTCTAAGAGCATCTCTTCATTAACTTTAATGCAGGACTGTATTCTAATACTCAAAATTACAGACTTGCTAATAATGCAAGCTGGCTTTCTTTAAACTTGTCCAAACCACTTGCCATTTATCGATTACTTCCTGCATCTCGATATGAAAAGGACCCCCAATTCAAGCCCATGTGTGACACATTCTCTCGGCAACCTTCCCGGTTACCAAGATATTCTTCCAAATCTATCCCCTTCCTCCCCATCCCAAGAGGTCACGGCCGGCAACACAGCCAACACCACTTAGTTTTTACTAAAAAGAGGAATTTGTGTGGTTTGAGTTTACCCTAGTTAAAATGGAGCGCTCCCATGATTTATAACATGGAACCCAGAGTAGCTTGAATTTCAACTTTATTATAAGCAAAATTGGGAATCCTAGTGTGGCACTGTAGGATACACACAGGCCTGCTAACCACAAGGTCGATGGTTCAAAC